GACTTTGAGGGGACCTAATATTGGCATATCACATACTGCATCAACCCAACCACCCTTGCCATTCTCTGTTGACTTTATCTCAAAATGATCAACTCAGGGGACATTCACTAAAGGTGAAGACCCTGAACAGCCACCTTGATTGCATCACTCGTTTGCAGTCAGAGTGTGCGGCGTATGGAATTCTCTCCCATCTGATGTAGTATGTGCTCCTACAGTTGAACTATTTANAATCGCAACTTGATAAAGCATTGGAACACTTCAAATTTCAACATCCGTGAATGATCACACATTATTATCATTATTATTTTCTCTTTGTGAAGTTATTCAAAAGATTCTGTAGAAATCCTATGGGGCATGATAAGCTTTAGCTTTGTTAAATCACCCATAATAAAACTTTGACTTTGAATAGCAATCATTATGTTCAGTGCTCGAATGCCGTTATGTAAAGTATTGTTTCTCGATACGTAAACCAAATCATCGAACCGTTCCGCTTTACGACACGTGCGTTGACTGCATTCATTAATTCCTATGGGCGTACTGAGAAACAAAGCCTGTGAAATTGAGTCTAAAAAATCTCTATCACCAAAAAATGAACCTTTCGGTTAGCTGATAGGTGGGTAGAACTATTCATATTGAAGTATTTCAATCGTAACCAACAGAACAATATAAAACTGTGATCGTACATTTGCAGTGAACGTTCCCCTTTATAAAGTTATGAAAACAGCGGTCCAGTGATCGAGAACTTGTGTGCAAATAAATGCTGATCAAATCTCTCATTGGCAAGATGATACTGCTTTAAATAAAAGGTCAAAGAAGAGTATGAGGCAACTTGTTCATATTATGAACCATCAGTGCATACTCGATGATCAGTTTTGAAAGTGGAATATTAAAGGACATAAATCAAATTTACCTGATTGGATGTCTTGAAAGCATCAAACCCATCATTCAATAACATCATTTGTTCCGATTGACCTTCCAATAGGTTTACTGGGCTCTTGTCTCGTAATACCGATCTTATACGAGCAGCAGGAAAAGTTAAAGTGGTCAGACGATCAGCAAGAATTCGCGAGAATTTGGAGAGATCAGACTGGTTGCCAACACCAGATAAACGCGGGTTTGTAAATTGCCTGGGAATGACTTGTAAAACAGCACGACCTGAGGGAATGTCTGACGCGAGCACAACACTCTCTATGGTGGCATGTGGATCCGACGCCGCTCGAATGACCTCAGTCCAATTGACGTTAAACGGGTTTGAATTAGCTTGCACAATGAGCAAATTGACCGATCTCAGAACATCACCTCCCTGAGATAAATGGGGTAAATTCATCTGAACAGCCGACATGGCATGCGTCTGCCGAGGGTGACTAGATGCGTGAATTACGATCAGCCCCGAATCCGCGACTTTGCGCAACACAGCTATTGAGAGAGTAGAGGAATAAGGGGATTTTTGAGCACGATACAGAAAATGGGGCAAAAGAATCTGTTAGTACTAGCATTTCAGATGATCTCTCTATATACATTGAGGTCATATGTACCATGAACTGTGTCAAAATGATTATTTCTGCATCAAGACAACAGTTGATTTATTGCTGGTTCTTCTGTTCCATACATTTCTCTGTTTTACAAGGCCGAAAGCTGCGGACCGGAGACAGCTATAGACGTATTCTGTCTGGATCACGTGACAAAATGGAGCTCATACGCATTTNATTGTACATTACAGAATAATGCATGGATTACGGGAGTACGGTGCGCCTGTAAACTCCAAGGAGGTAGCGGGTTGGCGTGTTCGATCACGAATTGATCAGAAGACCACTTCAACAAACCAATGGTATAAATCTGAAAACTTTTGACATCATTCTGAAAGAAACTGAAAAATGGTATGGTAGTAATATACAGTCCACTGAGGACATCATACATAAAAGGATTTATTCACCAGTCAGCTATTTCTACCTTTGTGTATCAGTGCGTTTTCCCCATCTTACTTTATTGTTCCCCAATTACTTTCCCTGACTCACTTAAACAGGTTTTCAAAGTCCTGAGTTGCAGCCTAAATATTATTGACCGCATTTCTTCTATTCCTTTGAAAGAGTTAGTGTGAAACTTTTGGAGTGACCTTTGCGGAGAGGATTCTCGTGGATCCTGACTACTCATTGCTCGCAGAAATGACATGTCGTTCTCATCCCTCCACACTCTCGAATCCGCCGAATTTCGCCCCGTATAAACGCATACCGAAATTCACCTACTCTCCATCTTGCACCTTAAATCTTAAACAAAGAGAGGGTAACAAGCGAACTTCGTCTTAACCTTGGATTATGAAGTGTCCCTCTGTCTGCTAACACTCCTCCTCATTGAATATGTTCTCAGTGACGGTTGGCTTGCATAGCTTCTCAACTGAAATGTCGGCTTTAGTACTTGCAAACGTTATACCAGATACCATACAATACACCTGTAGCCCCGTAAATTTGTAGTAAATTATGAAAACGAACGAACTCAACGGATGCTGTCTTGCGTTTGTCCGACCAGTAACCCCAAATAAAAATATCAAAGTGTATGGTAAAACAAACAAAAAATTGTTATTTCTGTTATTTACTGTTTTCCATTGCAACTGTTTAACCTTCATTTCAGTCTGTTTTGTACACCGATCTACTTATCCCCTTTTTATTGCTATTATTGTTGTGGCGTTAGCACCATGCTTTTCCGCAAGCCAGTGGTATATATTTCATAATAAGCACTATATGAATGACTAGACAAAATTTCCCTGAAAGCACACGACCGCTTTCGCGGTTCTCGCCGCTTGTCAGGCATGCATATCCGGTGATCTTTTATCATATATACATATAGTTTCGTGCTCCGGTTTTGATTATCAAATTGTGGTTACTGGAATAATAAACTAATGAGTAAACCAAACTAAGAGTAAACAAACGGTAGTAATATTGTTACGTCGAATACTTAAAAGATTTTTTTCATCTGTACATTGTTTATTGAATATGCAAGGATACAATTTCCAGGAAATGGGAAGCGACCAATCGAAGGACTGCCGTAGGACACAATGTTGAAGGTCAGGTGGCGAGGGTGGTGAAATTCGAACGCGTTCCCAGAATGATAATTTGGTAACCTTAACCACCAGGCCACCACCGACTATCACCCGAATTGCTTAGTGTTTCTCACCACCGACTCGGCTTGTCCTCATAGGATATTTACACAGTTGAATACTTTCTTGGCGAAAGTTCCGGATGGTAGGTAACAGATAATGTAGTCTTCAACGAATTTGCATCTTTTGGCGGTGTAGGAACATGAGGTGTGCCAGGGTATCATTGGGTCTTCGCTTGAAAGATTCAATAGTTGGTGCAGAAACGACGTGACATGGAAGGATGTTCCAGGTACTGCATACTTTGACTTCAAAGATTGGTGCCGGCGTCCCAGTCGACACTTTGGAATCAGTAACTTGAAACGATGTCCCCTAAGGTGTATATTGTTCGACAACGTANGCGAATAACATGGATGGTTTCGGTTCTATCGTATTTGATACGCCAAAATCAAGTCTCCCTGAATTCGGTGGTACTGAGCAGAATATAGTCCCAATGATTGTAATCTCCCTCATAGGTGAGGTAATGTAATCCTTTGACCATCTTTGCCTAAGCAAGCCGAGACTATTCACATCAGCACGTTTGCTCGAGCAGCTTAAATTTTCTTGAATAATCATAAGTCCTTCTCGTTTGAGATATGTAGCTGCTGATTTCCGAGGAAGTACGAGAATCCACTCTTGTGGTGTAAGGATAGGACTTTGTATTTAGGAACATTAAATTCAATATCGTTCTCATTACACCACTGATAAGCTGTGTTAAGTGTTTCTTGAAGTGTCAGCGAGCCCTCGGTTTGTGTTACTGTATTCCAGATTTTAGCGTCGTCTGCAAACAGTATTGCTTTTCGCCCTAACACATTCGGTAGATCGTTTATGAATGCGAGGAAAAGTCGAGGACCAAGTACAGACATTTTTGAATCACCGCGGGTAACGTTGATAGAACCAGAGGAATGCCCTAATCCAATTAAGCAAGAAACTTCGAATACCGTAATTGTAGAGCTTCAGCAACAAAACTTGGTGATTTACCCGATCAAATGCTTTCGGGAAATCCAGATAAATCACAGCAACAACTGTAAACGGGAAGCCTAACATGACCTACGTTACCAAGTTTTTACTAATTTCAAACGAAATTGATTGCCACTGATTTTCTCCAGAAAAATGTCTGTCTTACCAAACAACAAACACAGAGGAAGCTTATTTGGCGTCATGTGTAAGACATGAGGTAACCATTTATGAAGGTCATACACTTGAGTTGGCGTACGACCGAAATTAACCTGTTTTAATCACCAATCTGTTCCACCAGACACGCGCAATGCTGCACAGACAGTGATGATAAAACATTGTTGATATTCTGAAATGCGATAGTAATCTTTGCGATGACCGACAAACATTCATTATTTACACTGCCAGTGCACTTTATTTCTACTACCTCCCAGATCGAAATATCTAGCGGACTTGATAAAACGATTACCGAACCCACGTACCAAGGATTGTTTCCTTAAAAACCCACTACCTTGCAAACAAAAACGACGCCACTTTACTTAAAGACCTGCCCTTCGATTTATCCCAGTGATTCACTTCAAGCAGAACATTTTAAGATGCATTCTAATCAGTCTCAATCGGAATTAGATTTCCTCAGGCCTTCCCAAAGTATTGCACTAAAGGTTGACATCAATCACCAGCATAAAGTGGAGATTAGTTTGAAGACACGTTATCCTCAAGAATACAACGCGTCTGAACCAAAAGTCCCAGTATGGCAGGGAATGTCTTTTTCGATAAACGACCTCTGAGTTCTCTCGAAATAGCTCCTAATAATCCGCGTTCACAAGCTATTTTGGTGAAGTCCTACTTACTATGCTCTTATGATGCGGTAGTTTCAGTGAAGATAGGACAAATCCCACCGCCGAAGCCGTACGGAGTTGAGGAACTATAACTATGAGTTGCATGAACCTCATCCTGCACTACTGCATATGCGATCACCGATTGGATTGAACAGTGTGGTTCATTAGGCGCCCTGGAGGTGGAAGCCTAGGTTGAAGGGCGTAAGATTTGATCGATCAACTGACGAGATTCCGGCTACCACTAGATTTAACCTCTCGAATAAAAATTCTTTACTATTCGTTCGTTATTTCACTTGCCTGGGCTTGGACCGTAAAACATCGTGATGTGTGAATGGCGAATACAGTAGAGTTACACTGCTCAATTAGTATCCGGACACATTTCTCTATATCACATGCGTATATTACAGATTATATAAAAACGATCGCAATAAATTGATAAAATTATCGACAAAGCATCGGTACGACCGAAAAACTGCGTTCTCGATGATCCTATTTAACGTCAATTCACAGTTACTGTAGTTTGCTGAAGCAATCGCGATTCAAAGATGGAAAACCTGTTCGGGTAAGCAAAAAGAGTGATCCGTTAGCTAGATAAAATCATGACAATTGCGAGTTTATTACCAGTAGTTTTATAATTTTTTTGTAATCATTTATATTATTTAATCTGTAGTATACACCCGGTGAGATATAGAAAAATATTTCCAGATACAAACTGGGCAAAGAAAACCAACTTTATTCTCTATTCAAGTTTATTACGGGAAAAAGTTGGTTCAACGTGATACGGACATCTCTATGACAAAAAGAATAATACCCTGGTGTTTGAATATATTTGTATGAATGATACACGAATGGATGAAAAATCACTTGAAGATTTTTACGTGAGTGCGATACTGTCGGGTTGCCTTAGTCAAAGTAGGGAATCCCTTATAGGTTTACAACCGGAGAGCTCAACTAGCCTGCAGTCGAGATTAGTATACTTGACTCATTTTTTGCGCAGCATCTTCCGCATGAGACAGGAGGATCGCGTGAATCAGACGGCGTGTTTTAGATATACCCAATCGTCCGTCGGACAGGATAACTTTACTGCACTGTCTGAGGTGGCTGGCATTGGTGTTACGAGTGCCTGAACAATGCCTGCCCTATCGTACCTGGTCCGTGAACATTAGACCAAACTGGAAGAAACGGAGATGTGGATAAGCCATGACGTGATGTAGAGGATTAAAAAAACTGGGTTCGGATATGATCATCGTCGGGGTGTCCAAACTTTTAGGACGGAGCCCAAAATATTGGCTGAAGACACTACATGATATGGTACTGAA